CAATATTAGAAATTTTAGATTCATTGCAATCAAACAACTGGATTGCATCATGTGTCGTGGCGACAAAAAAGCATGCAGTCTGTTTTATGCCATGCTTGTCCTAAAAATAGTATCGATGGTAGCTGATATATTTGAATGGAAAAAAAAAGTGCTGAGATCAGAAACTAACATTGGAGATAACAAATAATAAGTAAACAATCTGATCAGCGTGAGACATGAGCATGGCTGGTTGAAAACATGATATTTTGCTTTTTTTTTCTTAAAACAAAAACACTGGTTGGTTTGAGTTGAATGAAGAAAGATGATACACTTTTTGAACACCACTTTTCATGTACTTGTCTATAATTTGTTGTTAAATGTGGGCAAAGTTCACATAATTTTCTATGTCCACAATTAATCATTATCAGCATTTTCAGTTAAAAAAGTTAGACAGATTTATTTTGCGACAAGTGACAGATGTTAACATTGGCACTCAGAAACTCAAAATGAACTTGGTTTGTAAATTCCGGTGTAGGTAATTGATATTACTAATGCATTTGGCCTTGTTTGTTATGTGTGCCATGTGTGCTCTGAGACGGATCAGTGAGGCAAACATGTCAGCTATAAACATGTATTCATGTACATTGACAGACAATTGAGTAATGGCACGTATGCATGTTGCGTTCAAATGTCCTGATCTGACCTTTAGGTGTGTTAGTTTTATGTGCAAGCGTAGCAAAATTGCCATGCACATTTGATAGCAGACTGTAACATTCACTAAACATCATTTATTCATGAGCATTGTTTTCATTTTGTGGAAAAAAAAACCACCTCTTTTGGTTAAGGTAAGTTTATGTGGTCTAGCTTTGTTCATACGTGTGTGTTGTAACAGTCAGACAGGGATCATATCATGAACTTTAAATTTGAATTACAATTACATTATATATGTGTTGCAGAAATTCTATGATGTATGTGCGCAATTTTAACTAATGTGCACGATGACCAGATACCCACCCTTTTTTATTGTTTAATTTGACATTTTGGGGAGAATACTTATTGTGTGTTTTATGAGAGAAAACAAAGCACACATGTATTGTGAAATTGTTTGATGTCTGGAGTTTTTTAAGGCGGCCTAGAATTGTTTTTTATTGGTTCTATCTATTCAAGATGGCCGACTATTAGCGACAAGAATTAGACCATATTCGTGTATATCAGTTTAATTCTGGTACATTACCAGGTAAAACAGTATTATTATTATTATGTAATTAAGAAAACACTTTCATAGCAATGAAATAGATCAAGCAAATAATATTCGCATCAAAAAACAAAAATACATGAATAAATTTGGATGCTGAATAAAAATAACAGAATTTATATAATTATAAGTCAGATCAAATTTATTGACATATGTGCAATTCAATCATTGTATTTTGTATTTTTCTCAGTACATTTGCAACTAGATAACTGTTAAAATGGGGTAAAATGACACGTTTTGCACATTTTATGTCTATACCATTGCGACAATTAATGCTCTTTAATGTAATGAAAATAGTTATGTTACGAGA